GGTCTATATCAGGCATGAGCAAACTTTAAATCAATGCCTCATATCCTAGTATGGTTCCTTCTTTAGCTGGTTAGAGGATTCTTCCCTACCTTGGGATTGAGTTTTTAAATTCCCTATTGATTTTATTTCTCATGGAGAAAGTTTTAATCAATGTTCTTTCCCCCTTTGTGTGCTGAGATGGAATCATTTACAAAACACCGCCCTTTACGGTGATAACATTATTGTTGTTGTTCGTTTCCTAGACAACCAGATAAGGGCAATGTCTTTTCTAATAAGTGTTGAAACAATTGTCAAATTTTTGGGTTTTCTCCCGCCAAGTGCTGGGTCTGATTTAAAATCCCCATAAATTTTATTTCTTGTCGTAATATTTGACTTCTTAAATCCCCAATAAAGTTAAGACGACGTGTCTGCCTGAATATTGTTACCCCGTGAGGTTTCATAATTTCTCCCTAGAGAAGTTGTTGTAATACTCACTATCAATATTGAAGAATGCATCTTGGGTTCCCCCTCAACAATGTGGTGTTTCCCTCCCTAATGAAGTCAACACGAGATCCTTAGTTGATGTTTTGACGATGTGGTTTTCATCTGCCTTATTGAAATCAATATTGCAATCCCCAGCAGAAGTGCAGACTTTGAAACATTTGTTTTCCCCTTTGAAGTCTCTGTGATGTTCCCCGGGGAAGCCGGGGGGAGGATGTTATATCCTTGTATCTGTACTAATTTATTGTTATTATTTGATTATTTTCGGATTATGTTCCTTCCCAGTGGAGTTAAGCCGTGAGATAGGAATTTGTTTCCTCAGTTGATGCTTACTTTCTTATGGAGTTCTCATCCTGGATGTGATTTAGCCAGGTAGTGACTTTACCCAAGTTGGTTTTGTCTGGTTATCCCCAGTGTTATATGTCTGTTTTTCCAGCATATACATGACAACATTTATACATCCAAACATACATCATGCATAGCTGAATTTAGCAAATCATTGCTCATGTGAATCCATTAATATCTTGCTGGCATATCACCCTGATTTGCAGAGTCGTGTTATCCTCTCTCCAATAGAGTGTCGACCCTAGGCAGAAAGTGTATATTCTTTCAATTTCCCCACTGAGTTATCCCTCGTGGAATATTTTTGCTTTAGCCTTCCTGTACAGCTCTTTGTTTGGATAGAAAGTGGTTCCCTCTTGAGTTTATTTCTCATGAAGTGTTATTTTGGTTGACTGATTCATTCTGGTTTATTTCTGGATTGAATCTATGGTCCCCTGCAATATTATTATTCTGATTTCTGCAGACTTTGAGCCCTGGTTTGAGAATATGCATTTATTTTGCACGAGAAGATTTTATCTCCTCAGCAGGAATATATTGGCATCTCCCCCCAAGAAGCCATATTTCTTTCCCCCGGAGGTTATTATTACAACTCCTTTTCATAACAGCCAGTGATGGTCTCTTTATTTCAGCAACTTGTACCTCCCCAGTAAGTCTGTTAGTTCCCAAAGAAGATTCATTTTTCTCTCCAATGAATGGTAGCCTTGTCATTATGGAAGGTAGTTCATTGCTGAGATTTGTTACTCCAGTGAATGGTAGCCTTGTCATTATGGAAGGTAGTTCATTGCTGAGATTTTGCTCCAATGAATGGTATCCTTGTCATTATGGAAGTTAGTTTGTTATTGAGATTTGTTGCTCCAATGAATGGTAGCCTCGTCATTATGGGAGGTAGTTCGTTGCTGAGATTTTTCTCCAATGAATGGTAGCCTCGTCATTATGGGAGGTAGTTTGTTGTTGAGATTTTTCTCCAATTAATGCTAGCCTTGTCATTATGAAAGGTAGTTCGTTGTTGAGATTTGTTACTCCAATGAATGGTAGCCTTGTTATTATGGAAGGTAGTTCTTTGTTGAGATCTGTTACTCCAATGAATGGTAGCCTTGTCATTATGGAAGGTAGTTTGTTGTTGAGATTTGTTACTCCAATGAGTGGTACCCTTGTTACTATGGAAGGTAGTTCGTTGTTGATATTTTTTACTCCAATGAATGGTAGCCTTGTCATTATCGAAGGTAGTTCGTTGTTGAGACCTTTTTCTGATGAATGGTAGTCTTGACATTATGGAAGGTAGTTCGTCGTTGAGATTCTATTGCTCTGAAGAAGTTCATTTGTTCCCAGTTGGGAGCACTGATGCTAATCATTTATTACCTACCCTAATATTGGTATTTACTAGTATTATCTTACCACTTCTTTTCCCGGTGGGTCGACGTTACCTTTTTTTGCTATCTCCTCAGTGAGTGGATAGTTCACAGTCATTTGTCGATCACTTCCATCCATTAATTTTTCCTTGCTATTTGAATTGATGATGCTTTGTCTCCTCTTAGGCTTTACCCCAGTAGAGTTGAGTCTTCTATTCTCTAGCAAAGTTGATTTTTCCTCCAATAGAGTCAGGTTTCTTCCCTCAATCAAGTAGATAATTCTTTCTTGAAGATTACTTTATTGTTGGCTCGTTGCTCACTTTGTTAAGTGTTTCCTCATTGAAACCTTACTCTGTCTTTTTTTATTCAACTGTGGTTCTGGATTTCCCCATACACAGTCATCCCTAGAGTTATGTCATTCCCAGTGATTTATTTTCCTGGTAAACTCTCTTTGGCATCTCTCTCCAGCAGGTTTCAAGTCGTAGTTTTGTCTATGTTATTATCTCCAATAATGTTATGTGTTTCTCACAGAATCCTTTGTGTCTGCATTCATAACCATAAGCATTTCATGACACCTTAGGGTTAAAATATGGAGTCTTCTAATATTTAAGTATCTTCAATCTCGTCGAGACAAAGGTTTCTACCTTCTTATCTCCAGATAGAACACACTTAAATAGGGGCAGCTGTCATACCCCATTTCCCTCTAATATGTTTATTCATAACATCATATGCATTTACATTATAAACCTTTCATTCATTTCAGATCTTTAAGCATGAGACCATAAAGCTCTTGGCATTAGGGTTTTCCCTATGAATTGAGGTTGTTACCTTCCTCATGTTAATTCAACTGGTTCTCTCATCACTCTTGGTATAAAACCAGGGTTTTTGATCAACAAGCATCATGGATATTTTCCTTGGCAAGATTCCTCGAGATACAAAGTTTTCTTCATCGGAATTTTCTTCGAAGAATAAGTGCATTAGGGTTTAATTTGTGTTATTTCATCATGACTTCATTAAGGATGTTCTTGAGTTAGAGTTTTATTCCTCTCACCATCCTAAGCCTTCTTCATCCATATGCACTCGAGGTCCAGAGATTTAGGGTTTCTCCTAATTACCTGCTCCACAAGTTAATTCTTCTCGAGAGGTTTGGAATTTTCCTCAAGAGCATGTATTTGTGTCAAATTCGTCAATGGAAGAAAGTACATTGTCAAGACAAGAGGTTTTATTGATTAATATAAAAGAATGAATCATGGCACAAAAGATGAATTTGAGAATTCTTTGTGATCAAAGTCTTGTCGTCTTTTCAATTACTTATTGCTTGCAAGTTAATTTGGATTCATTTTTTATGAAGACATCCATTTAAGTGTGTTATTTTCAAGTGATTCAAAAAAGACCATGATTCAAGGTATTGATCTTGGTTTCATTTAGACATCAAGCTCAAGCATTTATTTTGTTTAAGATAAAGATGGAAGATAATTCATAGGGCTTATTTGGACTCCAAGATATTCAAGTTCATTCCAAATTCTTAAATATCAATTCAAGTGTGCAAAGCATAGTCCATTCATATGGATCTGTTTTAAGCTCAAAGATTGTTTAAACTTGATATCAAAACTCTAAAGGCATATACTTTGTTCATTAAGATCGATTCGAATATGCTAAGATGAAACAAAATTCATGTGGATTTCTTGGAGTACAAGTCACTTAGAATATAATGCAAGGTTCATTACAAGTTGCAAAGGCATTCATCATGATCACCTTCAAGCATTTACTAAGTTCAAAATCAACATTCATCATCTATAGTTTCATTCAAGATTGCAAAGTATCATTCAAATGTTTCAAAGTTTCATTCAATGTTCATCAAATAAAAAACTTTTCAATTACATCAAAGTATACAAATATTCAAGTTACATTCAAATTCATCCAAATTTCAATAAAAATATCAATCATTTTCATTTAAGAAAACCTAGCTTTTCTACACATTTCAAAATAGTTTCAATATCCAAAAATTAATTGTCACTTTGCTTGCTCCGGGTTGTAATAAAGCAGCTCTGAAACTGGCCATGAGCTCTTGTCAAAAACTGTCCAAAATTACCAATATTTTTTCTTGTGCCATGTTGAACCAAAACAACTCTAATGTGGTTGCAATCTTGTCCAAAACATCTTCTTAAAATCAGCTCTGCATAAGTTTTGTGGCAGCAGAAAATTAGAAGAAAAAACTCTTGCAACTATAAATCTGAACTTCTGCTTCAATCTTGGGGGACATGATCCATTGCTGCAAAGACTTCTCAGAGAAGCTCACGATTCATTATGCATTTTTTCTCAAAAACTTCATCTCTCCAAAAATTCACTCTCTAACTGCTTCTCTGCACAGCTTCATCTTCATCAACAAATATGAATTTGCATCTCTACAATGATCATCAACATCACGCATACTTCATCAAACGTGCATCATCTTCAATGCTACTGTAATATGCTTGCATCTATTTATCAATCTGCATCCATCAAAACAATAACAGAAACGCATACACAAAGAATCAGTGGAAACAAATCGTAAAAAAAAATCTGAAGAGGAAGTGATTTCAAAGAAGCAGTGGAAGCGAGTTTACCTCTGAATTTGCAATCCTCTTTACAGATTTGAAGAAGGAACCAGACTTTCCTCCGGTAGGTAAGTATACTCCACGCTCTCTTTAGACAATTTTACTGTCTTGCTCGAATTGATTGCGTCGTATATATTTTAATCACTACATAATCTAAGTTGAGATGTTGAGACGAATCCATAGAGAATGAGATTGAGAGCGAAGAAGCATAATTGGAGCTGATACGAAGATGTTAATGGGAGGGTCGCACTGTCTGAAGCGAAGCGAAGATGATAGAAGTGATCAATATCAAGATGGACGAATTGAGCGGGCGAGAGCGAAAATGACGAAACGGAAATGGAGAAGGTCGATTCATGAAGCTCGATACGGCGAAGATGGAGTCACGTGTTGAGGCGCTTTTCGCTGTGAGAAGAAGATCGATGGTTGAAGCTTGAGGCGGAGAATAACGTCTCATCAAAGAGAGGTTGAGTCGGAAGCGTGAGGTTGCGGTGATTGAAGCCAGAAGGTGAGCGGCGGAGAGGCGCGTAGAAGGAAGAGCCACCGCATATGAGATTGAGAGAGGAGGAGATCGTGTTTGCTGAAGAAGTCTGAACGCCACTTTTTCTTTGAACCCTAACATAACCTCTATACGACGCCGTTCTTTTTCTTTTGACATTCTCTTTCTTTAATTTTTATTTATTTTCATAATAGTAAATATTGATAACAATAATAATAATTGAAAATTGGATGAAAGGATGTTAGACTATGGTTTTGGACCTTACTTCTCCCTGGATTTTGCATCTCCGGGCCTGGTTATTTTGTGCACCCTCCTTTAGGCCCGTTACCACTGTTTTTGGAAGCTCATATTGTGAATAGCAAAAACTATGGTGGACTGGTTACAGCTTGGGCCTAGCGCCTGGCCTTGGTTTATTTGGACCACAACCTGATTATGCTTTACACCCCTTTTTCTCTTCTAACTTATTTTTTTGACTTAGTTTTTTTAGTTTAAATTTCTTCCAACCTTTCTTAACAAAATTAGTAATAAAAGTCATTGATATAAACAATAAAAATATGCAGAATTTAGGAATTCTTTTAGATCTTTTAATTAGATTTTTATCTCTTCCTAATTCTAGTATTTTTAGATCTTTTACCGTGTATTTTTGTATGAATTTTGGTGTAGTTCAAGCGTGAATTTCTTGGTACTGTTTTGAATAATTATTGTTACCTATATGTGCTTGTTGATTACTTTTGTTAGTTGTGTGATCTTGTCATGTTCCCTTAGGTTTTTTTAATTCAATTTTGATCTTTCAATTAAACCAAATTAAATAGACTTTAGGCTCTAAATCCAAACATGATAACATTTTAGAGTATAATTTCTCACTTAAATTCAACCTTAGGTCCATTTTGCGATATTCTCCCAATAAAATACTCTAATTCATTCAAATCATCGTGTGCCTTTTGTGTATTTTTCTCTTTAAAAATCATCTCACTCTTTTCAAAACTATTCTTGTTTTCTAAACTCGAACGACTTTCACAATAAATTTGGACTTAGGTCCATGCCTTTTTAAAATAATTTCTTAATCAAACTTTAACCAACTTAATCATATTATGAATTTTTTTGTGAGAATACCAAAAGTCAATCAACCTCATTCAAATTACTTTGCCACTTTGGTTTTTTACTTTAAAACTCTTTTTCTCAGAAGATCAGACTCTTGTCGATTTTTCTAGTGATGCGAACTACTATACTTCTATGATATGTAGTTAAGGGAGATATTTTCCACTTGGGTGTTGAGCGAGGATTTTTTGATTCTAAAATCCAAGCCATATCCTCCAATTTGAGATGACACAAATTCTCCTTTCTCATAATCGTGGGTAGTAAGTATGTTTTCCACTCGGATACGACGATGATGTCTCGTCTCTTAAAATTAACCAACACCCTTGTGTTTTAAATTTTTTAAAAGTGAACTACGAGTACCCTGATCCCCTATTTCATGGAAGGTGGTACGTAGGAACTAAAGGTTCGCAATTGCGGCGGGTGCAAAAATAAATAAAAAAACTTCTTTTCTCATCTCCACCATCTATTTTTTATACAACATTTATATCCAAAATACACAAATTTTCAAAGAGGTTCCTGCGGAGTACCGTAGATGTTTAGGGTGCTAATACCTTCCCTTTGCATAACCAACCCCCTTACCTAGAATCTTTCCCCCCTCTTTTGGGTTATTCACTTTTTTCCCATTCCTTTGGAAACAGTAAACCGCAGTGGCGATTTTTATTTTGATCTGTGCGAGTCAAGTAAATCTAATGGCTTAGTCTCAACATTTCTACCGCTACATTTGGTAGTTAGCTTGTTGTTATGGTATTTAAGTAGAGGTCAGATTCGAGATCAGAACTGCATTAACAGACTGACGATGGTCCTTCTTGACATAGCACCTTGACCCATATACGACATTAATTTCCTTTTTTCCGATAAAAGGTTTCTTCACAGTATTTGATGTAGAGGCGGAGGGCATGATTATCTTTCCACTTTTAATACCGCTCTCAACCCTTCCACCAGTCAAGATTAACTCGGTGAACCCAGATGATGAGCTCCGAATCAGTAAGTTGAAAAATGGCCCAGTTAATGTCCCCATGAACATATCTACCAATTCCCTGTCAGTCAATGGTGGCTGCACCCTGCCAGCCAGGTCTCTCCATTTATGCGCATATTATTTGAAGCCTTCATTGGAACCCATGGTCATTCCTTGTAACTTCACTCTATTTGGCGCAAGATCGGCATTGTACTGATATTGACGGTAGAAGGCGGTAGCCAAGTCCTCCCAGGTACGGATGTTGGAACCTTCTAACTGGTAAAACCCCTCCAATTGAGTCCCAGACAGACTCTCTTGAAAGAAGTGCACCTACAACTTCTTATCAATGGTATGCGGTTGAATTTTACGGACGTAAGATCTCAAGCGAAGCTTCGGGCATGAAACGCCATCATACTTGGCAAAAACTGGAATCTTGAATTTGTGGGGGATCGCTATCCCAGGAGCCAAACCCAAATCACCAAAATCTAGGCCAGGCACAACTTTAATTTCCATAGCCTTCAATCTGTCCTCTAGTTGCTTATACTTGTCTTCAGCCGGCGGATATTGTTTGTCAAAATAGTCCTCATCTTCAGAGATTAGATTGTTACCACCCCAGCGCGGGTGCTCCTTGCATCTTCATCCTGATTCTCATCCTCCTCAGAAGAGTCTTCTATCACTTGAACTTGTCGAATGGGGCCCTTGAACCTCTTCCCCATGTTGATCAAAGCCTTCTTCTTGGTATTCTTCTTTGTAACCAGAAGTGACATCAGTTCTTGCTACCCTTTGGCCAAGTTGAGCAAGGTTTCTTGAAATTGAGAATTTTGTGTCTGCAAGTCCTTCATAGTCTGCTCGAGATCCATCTTACTGAAATAAACAGTAGAAAGATGAGGAAACGTGTGTCGCAAAACCTGTTTATGTTATGATGCATGTAATGTGAATGCAAATGTTTTCAAGGACCTTTAAGATTTAAATTTGTTTAAACAAAGAAGGAACAAACATTAATTGTATTAGTAAGTCCAAACGGTTACAAAAAATGCCTCTTTGGCTTATAATGAAAGAAAAACCAACAAAATGAACTAATACAAAAAGGCTCAGGTCTCCCATGGGTGCTTCCTCTTTGGGCTAATATAGACATTTAAGTTCTGCTCCTCGTTAAGTTGCCTTGTGAGCTCCAACACTTTCTTCTCACCTGCATAAAACTGGGTTTCAAAGGTGTCTCGCTCCCCTTTGATTTGAATCCACGATCTTTGCAACTCCTCGAGAGTAGTAGGCATGTCAGGATGAATAATGGTGTAGGGAACATCTCTTTCGGTAATAGGCTCCATGATGGTAGGTAGGATGGCCTCGTATGGCATCATGAGGTTTTAAGTGCGACCTTGCACCCACTTGAGATAAGGCTCCAAAGGAATGGAGTTCTTATTCCCCAACGTCTTGCTATCAACTTTGTTCACCATGCCCCAAGCTCGTAAAAATCTTTGATGATAACCTTGGACAAGGTTCTCATAGTCAAATACAATTCCTTGGACAAGCGCATCATGAGGGCCATCCCTCCGAGCATACCTAATCTGTCGTAGAGCCAAGCAAGGATTATAAGTGATACCTTACCTAATGTCAAGGAGAGGGACATTAGGGAATTCCCCACATCGGTCAATAATGATAACATCCTCCAAAGATTGAGAACACCAATGAATATCCGAATGCGAGAGTGACATTAACCTATTAGACCATTTCATGCCTTGCTCATCCTTTAAAATAGATTGAGGAAGGTGCGAAATAAACCACCTAGCCAATAGAGGAGTGAAACACTTAAGAATCCCCCTTCTCTTCATGGTGCGAGCGTGAAGAGTATGCAAGATGTCTCCGAGTAAGGTAGGCACCGGGTTACGAGATAGAAAAACTTTGACCGCATTCACATCTATGAGTTGGTCTGGGTTAGGAAATAGTACCATCCCATAAATTAGAAGGGCCAAAACCTATTCAAAAGCTTACAAATCTAGAGCATCCCAAAAAAGTTGAGGTTTCTCAAACAAAAACTTGGCTAGAAAACCCTTAACACCACTTTTGGTTTCCCAATTTTCCAAAACGTCAGAATGTTACAAATGTAAAGCTCGAGTAATCTCCTCAGGTCTTGGGTCTTTCTCAATACTGTTGAAGGGTAGTTGATCAAGAATAGGCACTCCCAAGAGTTGAGAAAACTTCTCTATGGTAGGCACTAATTGGTAATCAAGAAATGTGAAATAATGATGTTTAGGATCAAAGAATTGAAAAAGCACATGTACCATGTCTTCTTCAAAGTTTGAGGTAACCAAGTTAATGAGACGACTATAATTCTTGGTGAACGAAGAATCATTTGGAACTCTTGACGCTAACTCCTTGAGTTGAGGAGACATTTTCACATGGTTGATTCAGATAGTATTTCTTTGCATGGAATCTATATCCTACAAAACAGTACAAAGATAAATCCCAAGGTCCTTGAAATGGTTAGGGCAAAATTCTATGGTATGATGTCAAGATGTTATGTACAAGTAAACATATACAAGCAAAGCAAATAATTCCTTAGGTTTAGGCTTGCAGGAGGTTCGTAGGTAAGTACCCTCTTGAAGTTTGGTTGGTTCAACATGTCCTAGAAAGTAATCGAGTTATAAGGAATCTTAATATCATTGATCTTTCTCCATTGGGCATTGTTTCAGGCAAGCCTATATTTTGGCGACCGAAATATCCCAAAAGTTCGATCTCAATGAGCTTAGTATCGAGTATCAATCAACTTCGGACTGCACCAAAGCCGGTTATCTCGCTACTTCCTAATGGCCAAGTTGTTCAACAAAAGGTTCTAAGGTCATTTAGTGCTTCATGACACCATACAACGGCCTCGTATTCTCCTTAATTCGCCATAAGGGATACCGGTACCTACAAATGTGTCACACTAACATAGCTATCGCTTGAACCATATCGATCTATGCCGTACAGTCTCCACAACCTTTTCTACTTACCTAATAATGTTCCTAGATACGGGTAGATGATCAATACAAAACCCAAACAAGGAACAAAAATGTAAAGCAAACAAGTCAAA